ACCTCCTTAATTACCTCCCTTGCAAACAAAAGCGAACGCACTAGTAAAAATAACTAACACTGAAAATAACTCATAAAAACAAGATGATGACCAAAGAAGCCATACCGAATCTGTGATGACGATGACGGCAACGAAGACGACGATGACAGCAGCAATGACGATGGTGATGACGGTAGCAACCCGATAACGACATCGGACCGATAACGAGGGCGGCCCAACGGTGGCAGCCGTTAGAGGCATGGCCACCTAGTGTTATGTAACTACCGGATAGCAGAGGTCGGCCGGTGCCTGACAGCTAAGTGGAAGAGGGTGAGAAGAGGGGCTATGATTAGGGTTTGAGGGGTTGAGATGCTAGGGTTTGAAGAGCACGCTAGACCTTTATTTTGAGAATAATGACTATGATACCACATTAAACAATAGAAAATTATAGATATTCTTATTCATTCATCAAGGGCGACAACTAATCCCAGGCATAATATATAGTGATACAATAGCGACGGTTTTTGTGTGTGGACAATGTGTGACCAAACTCAATTACCTAATCCTAATTATTCTCCTAATCATATTTCTAATATCTATGAATTGCCATATCTGTAAAATATCTCATAATATACATTGCCTAATATTACGTATTTCCTTAATCACTTACTAACAAAATGCATTCATGAAGAAGTAGTGAAAGAGGGTGAAGATGGGACACGGTGGAGGAGATCGAAAGGGGGGAGGAGGAAAAGAAGCGGAAGTTGAACATAAAGGTTGAAGATGACCGCAATTTGGATTACTTTAGAAGGGAGAGGGGCTCAGAAGAAAGAACAATTTGGCCGAAGGGTTTTTACACACAAGAGTATTTAATCAAGAAGGCTAAAAGAACAGAAGGTTCGAGAAAACGGGCTGGACCCAAATTTCCCTAAAAGTTTATTATCTCATATATAGTACGTCTCTTAGAAATCAGTAATTAATGTAACATAGCTTCTGTTCTCACATAAAAGGAGAAACTACTCTCCATCTCCTCAAAAGGGATAATCTCGATAAACTTATGATTAATGTCAACAGATACGCAAAAAGTTCTCACAATGTTACATCTAATCCACAAATGCTTCGCAACATAAACCTCATACCATATAAATTACAATACAAAGTCTCCACATCGTACAAATTTAGTGGAACTTAAGGCTAGTCAATATATTGTCATTAACTGGATCAGCCAAACGATCCAAAACGTTCTGATACGGCCCAACACCGGTCACCAAGCCCTGAATGAAAAAGCCCAATATCGCCAGCATAGCCGATCTCCCATTCTTCACTTCTTTAAGCTTCAACTCCTCCACGGACTTCTCATCTTTTAATGTGTTAAGGGGCACACGTTAAAAGCCATCTAAATGGGAAATTCAAGCTAAAAAGTATGGCAATACCTGCCTACGCTCACAAAGATGCGTGAGCCCAAACAAGGAGCTCATGAGGTATGCTACTACAGTTTCAGTCCAGAACGGATGGAGACTACTCCACCAACAAGATTTTCAAGATTTTCGTATTCGACCTGCTGGAATCCAGCATCAGAGATCATACGAGCAAATTAAGTTCTCCTACAAAAACAAGAAAATAATCAAGACAGTCGAGGAAACAGCTTCAACAAGATCGAACGGGAAAATACAACTAGTTACGCCACTTTTTACATTCTCTTCTTCTGTTAATGGGGGGCTTTCAGGTATCGCATATAATCAGATCATGTGATAACAGAAAGTTCCCACATGATTCAGTGATTTACGTACGTGTGACAGTTAATTATGAACAGGACTAATTATATATAGAGTGCAAATGCATCTCTACAAATTAAAGGGTTTGGAATATTGTATTATCCAACCTTTGGTTTCATCGATCACTGAATAAGTTCAATGGTTTTAACAGACGTCTTGGTCTCATTATGTACTACTTGGAGGTAATATATGTTAAAATAAAGGATATGATGGTAATTATGATATTTTTATTCAATCAGCTCATATTAAACCCATGGTTACAAGGCTTCTATGTTTTGCTTAGAAGTACTTGTTTAGTGATAATTCTTGCTATCAAAATATTCAGCTTATTCCCTGATACTCTGGATTAAAAGGCAGTGTATTCTTTTATTTGGTTATCGGTTTTATATAATTTAAAAAGGACCAATTCTCTTCAATCCTCAAAAATCACACAGAAACTTCTTAATTGTAAATGCGCGCAGATCACAGAGAGTCTGGTTCTTCATATTCGAAGTAAAAGTAGCTTTATCGATCATTTGTTGAGACACCTCTGCATGCAGAACTACGAGCTAGTGACTTGCAGTTTATAAAGCTTATGTAATATAATGAAGCCACCTTACCTATTTTGAGTGTTGCCTATGTATATCTCTCCTCTCATCTGCTGCAGACCTCCTTCATGTTTTCTCTTACCTTCCAAGAGATCTCAACTACTTTATTGAACACACAAGTGGTAAGGGATGGAAAGAGTAAGCATAATCTTCCAGCTGCAATGTATTCTTTGACAAAGTTTCCAGGTATTTTAGACTTAAATTTGATGAAATGTTCTTCCCTCCTCCTGCTGCTTATACCATCTAGAATGTTTTATGATATTTATTAATTTATCGTGCAACGGGAATGAAAGGGCAAGACCAGTGATTGTAGATCCAGGTCTCTACGGCTTGAATAAAAAAAGATACCTTTTGGGTTAAAAGATCTATGCCTTCTTCATTTAAACTATAGTAGAATTGTGGGTACTACTTTGGCAAATTGGCAGCACGCCATATATATAGACCAATAAAGGTATTGTTTGGGGATAGAAGTATTTAATTCACGTAAAATGTCTCTATAATCCATGGTCATGACAAATGATGGTATAATGAAAATTCCCAAACCTGAGTTATTTGGTTTGATTCCTCAAACATGATCTTTAATAATTGGAAGTAAGCAAAATTCCCAAACCTGTGGGGAGAACAGTTGTTTTTCCTAGTATGTGCTCATGTAATGATGTAAATAAGATTTTTAGTATGTCCTCAAACATCTCTCATTATTAACTATCTTCCCCTTCTCTGTCTGTGGGTTCATCTTCCATGGTTCTAGCCCAATCTTTTCTTGAATTCTGCATTTGGGGATGGGATAATCTTCCTCGAACCTTACTCATATACTACACAAACTACTTAATATCTTCTGAAGACTACTTGTTAGACTTAAACGTGATTAAATCATAGAGAATAAACATTAAGAGTGGAAGCTTATACCTGAATTCATAACTTAAATCTGAGTTAGGGTTTTGATGATCTTCTAATCTTAGGGTTACTCCATTATGGATCTCTTTAGATGGGGATAAGAGAATGAGAGTAGCTAACCCTAGATTAGGGACCATAACCCCATACATATAGGTGTTGTACATTTGTAATTTGGCCCCTCATCAAATTACAATTACAACCTGGTATCTGTACATATAACCTCATGATTTATTTAAATACCCATTAACCCAAATTGATTGATCACTTTAAGTGAGTTATCCTTAAAGATAATAATACACATTGATTAATCATATGTGCCCACAAATAGATTTAATTAGATTTAAATCCAACACTACTTCCATACCGTCGTCATCTGCAACTCCTAAGAATTTCAGAACACCACCATTAACCACGACCTTCGCTTCGTTATGTGGGGCAATCATCGTCATCCTCTCAACTCGACATCAGAGCATTTTGATCTCACGATCGATAGCAGAGCTCCATTTGGTCGTGGGTTTGCTTCCGAGGACCCGATACTTGACAGACAGTCAGATATTGAGGAGACTGATCGATTGGGGGGTTTTACACCGGGAGGGTGGTGCTTGGGGAGCTCTTTGTTGGGTAAAGATCCTTCTGGTGTTTACGGGTAACCAAGTGTTTTGAGACTGACATTTGAGTTCGAAGAGGCTTGAGAAGTTGCTGAGTGAATTTCAGGCCTAAACAGTGTACGTAGTTCAAAAAACTGTAATTTTGTAAAGGCCGCGTGTTTTTCAAGTTTGCGGGCAGTTTTGGAGGGTCATGTTGATATGTTCGGGGAAATATTGATTTGGAAATGGAAGAAAGTTTTCTCACGATGACTCGCCGTCATCTTTAATTATCTTTACTGAAAAAAAAATCTAGTGGGAAAATATTGCTCAGGTTTTGAGATTCTCTGTTTTATCGAAACCACATAACAAGAGGATTATCTATGTAGCTCAGACAACGCTGTGTTAAGACTGCGAATTTCACTCCAGTTGCTATCACTTGTGCAAACAGGCTATGAGCGGCTGTTTCAAGTAAATATTTGAATCTTTGTCCATGCTAAAGTTCAATCGGTACTCAATAGTCGTATGATGGTTGTATCTTGGTTAATAACTGTAAGCGTGTAATTATTTGCTGATGTCACAACTAGGGAATCATCATTGATCATTCTAGTTTACAGCCTGAGGTGGCAATGAAAGTTGCAACCAATTCAGCCACAATACCGCTAACAGGTTGCGAAAGCAAGCACATCATGTTTCTACGGCAAATTAACAACTATGAACTATACTCGATACATTCTTATGATTCGACCATATAGATAACAGATCATAGACAATTGCATATACAATACTAAAGCACATAGAAGGACGTCAAATGGAAACAAGGCTTACATCAATAATTAGCAAAGTGATCAAACAAAATGATCCCAATGAAACAACTATTACAAAGAGATCATGATCATCCACATTATTCTCATGGACGCCAGACATGTCAGTGACTAGTGCAGGATTTACATGAAATATAACCAGTTCATGCCCAGACCTCCTGATAATGTAAAAAGCAAATGTAAACAATAACCACCTCAAGATTTCATATCTAAGTGCAACTTCTAATAGCTAGTTTTGTGACTCAAAATTACACACAATCCAAAATTATTTTCCTAGTGCTGATGCTTATAAGCAACATTGACTGAATTTTGCAACACTTGAATCCACTACAAGTATTTATCTCTACCAAGACGCTGCAGATGGTAATTGATGGTCCTTGCTGGATTTTTTGGCTTTCCTTTCTGCAATTAGAATCATTAAAAAATCATCAGCGGTACATTAGCGTGAGCAAAAGACGCTACTTTTTCTTCCGCTGTTTTCATATCTGGAATTTTTGTGGAATAAACAGACGTTGGGTTCGTAATATTTATAAATCTGTTCATACCTGAGATTCAACACAAGCTAGCAAAAGGTCTTTGTGCCTCATGCATCTATCATCGTTGTTCTTGTTAAGGGACAAGCATCCAAGAAATGTGACCATCTCCTTCATGCAAGGTTTACTAACATTACCAAACTTTTTCGGATTTATGTACAGACCTCCGGCCTTCCGCCCCATGCTTCGAATTTGCCTAGTTGTGAAAGGGCAATAAAACCTAGATTAGTTTCAGAGGGGGGGACATTAAAAAATAAATCTAAGCATTCAAATGCACCTAGATTATCATATTAAGAAACAAAGAAATTCGCCGCCCAAGTATCAGAAGCATATGAAGAATTTGACTACTGATATGGAAGATCTAAATAAGAGTTTGGAGGTATATTGTGGATTCTTCTGCAATTTTTCAGGACTATGCTATTCCAATTCCTACATGTTTAAAACGGAAAGAATTTAAGTCATACATATGGATATTAACAAATTAAACTTAAGATAGTGTTTATTATGCAAAAGGCAACAATGCCACCTGGAATCACATTCCTAAGAAAATATTTTTTTCTGAATAGGCCATGATGCTAGTAAATCACAATAAGGAATTAATAAGTGCAGAAAATCTTTAGATGAAGGGTATTATAACCAATTTAATATTTGAATAAGAAAGAAGAAATGTCACAACTTATCAAATATCAATGTCAACATCCATGATATCCAAAAGTTATGAGAAAATTCTAACCTGGTATGCTTGCTCAAAAGTAAAATATTTTGCCCAATCAATCGCAAATAAAAATAGTTTCAAAGTTATTTATGTCATCCAGGCAACCCAGATGTTTAATGAAAAACAACAAATCTTAGTACTTGACATTTTTCTGAATATCTGCCAGCTCTAAATAGAAGAATTGAACAGAACTTTAGTAGCTTCAATTTTGTTAGATAGAAGCAGGAAAATTGTATTCATAGACCGTTGACGAGGAATTTGAATGATTATTATTGTTACATTTGGTTCAGCTTGATGATATGTTGCATAGGAATGTAGGATCCAGCCCAAATATTACAAATGAATATCAACCATATTTTCACTCAATGAAGTTCTGACCCAAAATCTATATCTGTACTACTTATAAGACTGCTATGCCAAAACTTTTGACTGTCTCTTTTACCCTCTCCATCAAAAGATCTGACACAGCAATCCCTGATATAGTAATAAGTAATACATAATAAATATAAGTACAGAGTATATATATAAATAAAGATATAAATGATATGAAAACATGCAAGTATGATCATGAATAAACATACAATTAATATGAACTTGAAAATGTTCTAATGGCCATTTAATATTCTTAGCACATCATGATTATTTAACTTTGCACCAACTTTTTAAACTATAATTAGTGATTAAAGTCTAAAAAATACAAAAGAATGTGGTCTTTGACAGCACATGAGATACCAAATCTTGAACATTATAAATCTAATTTAATTAGAGAAGGGTTCAAATGGAGTTCGCGAACCGTTTTTTATTCAGCTGTTTTAGCACAAAGGCTCTCTATTTTCCTTTCTGTTTTTTCCGTTCCTGAATAAATTTATTATTAGCACTTTTTTCTTCCTCTACAGCAGGAGATAGTAAGTAAGCAAATCAGATCAACTTAACACTTTTTCTGACATAGTTGGCTATTTTCTGATGATTATCTATTTTAAGACTTTTTATTTTTTGTACATAATCTTATTGATAGATGAACCAGTGATATATTTATTGACGGCTGAAAAAAGTTGTACGTCCTCCAAGTCACCAATGGAGATAACAGTCATCATTGTGTAAGTGTCTTATTTTACTTTGGTTCATTTAAACTTATATTAATGAGGAACCCAAAATAGTTTTCTATTTTCTTCAGACAGTGATGATTAACTAATAATTGAATGATTCAAGGTGTTACATCAACATGGCTTTCTTCAAGTATGTTGATGAGGCGAATAAAGTCGTGGACAAACCTGACACATAATTTTGTTTTATTTTTTATTTTCTATTTTTAAGCATCCATGATCCACCAATGCTTTTTTTTAACAATACATTAATCAAATAACGTTAGTAGCTTTGGTATCCAATATTTCATTATAACAAACTGGAAACACATGATGACTTCTTGAAGACAATATCTCTATATTTTAGTTACTCTATTCATTTTTCTGTGCATTTTTTATTTTCTATGTTTTCTTTTATCTAAAATTGTAACAATCCTTTTTTTTATTTTAAATTAGTGATGAATACAATAGATATATTTGGATTGAAATATATTAGTTTGTAATTAAGAAATTATGAATGGAGTTTTCTACAAATAATACTTATTAGCATAAATTTTGTGTTATCATAAGATGCTTGGTGGGTTTAGTGAAAACCCTAGAAGTTGAAATCTATGTAGCACGGACACGGATCCGATACGACCATCCGACACACCGACACGAGGCAAATCCTAAAAAATACATAGGATACGTGTGTTCGACACGTGTGTCCGACACGGACACGACACGACACGGTTTCATGTTATGCGTGTCTGTGCTTCATAGGTTGAAATTAAACCAAGTGGTAGCCGCCATATCGTGTTTAAAAAAAAAGAAAAAAACAAAAAAAGAGAAACCGAGCAGCGACTTAGGAGGGCAGTAGGGGCATACCTGGGAGGAAACAAATCAAGGTTTCACTTTTATCTAATCCCCATCTTACCATCACTAATTAATATTGCCAACATACTTACATGATGCATAAGAGGAGCAATCTTAATTGCTCTTTTTGTCTCTTTGTGTGGATCAGTCATGATCCAACCTAGTTAAAAAAAATTCTTCTTCATGCTAAAGCTATAACAACTGAGGTACTAAGTTGTTGTTATACTATGGTCGTATTAAATTATTTGATACGTGTTATGTATTATAATTAGCGGGATGACTGTATTGATTATTATTTTGTATGTCGTATTTAGGGATTCCACAAAACTCCGAGGAAGTATTTTAAGGGGTAGCTAGTTTATCTTCGGATTTGTTGTAAGTGGTAAAATTATGCATTGTGCATTGCGTATTTTTCCTACAAAATGATAGTAAGTATATGTGGATTTGTTCCTAATGGATTATATCATTTTGTATGATTCATTCATATATTAGTTGTTGGCTAGATTGTATTTTGTGATGCAAGCAAATATTTTGGTATAAGCGTATGCTTATTCCTTTGTTAACAATCATGTCTTCTCATATAGTAGTAAGTTGAGATGCATAAGTGATTGCTTAATTTCACTATTGGTTGGCTTTTGACAATTCTTTAAATAATATTTTGCTATATGAACTTTGTTTATTTTTCTTAAAGCATATGCATCTCAAGTCAATATACCGGTATATGTTGAGGATAAGTTAAGTCATCTAAACATGACTCAATGTGCCTCTATGAGATTTTTATTTTAGCTCGAAGAGCCCAAGTTTGGGTCTCATCGTCCCGACCACGGGCTATGTAATAGTGGGGTTTGCCAAGTCAATCGGAGTACCGAAGTGTTGACCGCATTGAGACGTGATTTGCTTCTTTCCATTGCATGCATATATATTTTAAAAATATTACATTATAATTTCCTACTATTTTAGTATTTTGCTTATCAAGTTAATTTATTTTAGTTTTACAAAATTAGTGCTTAATGTATGAATTTATCCACTTATTGAGTTGTGAACTCATTGTATTGTTTTCATTTCGCATTAGGTGGAATTGATGATTTTCAAATTCTTAGAACGAAGCAAGGAATAAAATTCGAGATTGTTATTGTCTTCTAGGTGAAGGTTAAATAAAGTCTTTGATCTTTAATTGATAATTTGAGAGTTTTGTAATAATGAGATAGGTTAAATAAAGTCTTTGATCTTTAATTGATAATTTGAGAGTTTTGTAATAATGAGATTCTTTCCTTTAGGTCGAGTTTTATTTCAAGCAGTGATTTTAAAAGCACAACGAGGCGTGCGCCTCGGGTGCAAGGTGCTTCGGCGCAATAGAGCAGTGCCTCGCAGAAGGTGCGCGACGCTACACTTACTTCGGGCGTGCACCTCATCAGCATCCTGCAACGCCTGACACAAGCGCGAAAGCATGCACCTCAGTAACAGGTAGGCAAAGCAGTGGGTTATTGGGTTTTTGGTACAAACCCAATTTTCACTTAAACTCGAAAGAAAAAAAGAAGCAGTGGCTAGGGTTTTGTCACTCCTTCTCCAACTCTTTCTCCTGATTTCCATTCTTGCGGTCTACACTAGGCAGCAGCAAATGACGGGCGATGGCGGCGAGCGGCGACAACAAGCAGGTTCTTCTCCTTTTTTTCCAGTTTCCTTTTGTTTTCCGATTTCTTTTTGTTTTCCTTTTTTTTCTTTTGTTTTACAGTTCTCTTTTTTAATCCTCAGCGAGTAAGTTCTTTTTTTTTGTACTGTATGTTTTTTAATAGTAAAAATGTTCTTATTGTTGATATTGTGGCAGCCACTCTCACGAAAATTTGACTATTGTTTTAACAGTAAAGGGTTTTGTCGCTGCTTCAGTTCTTAAGTAAGTTCACTCTTCTAAAATTGATTTTGTTGCATGATTAAATAAAAATTAACGTACAAGTTTAATATTTTTAATAGTAAAAATGTTCTTATTGTTGATATTGTGGCAGCCACTCTCACGAAAATTTGACTATTGTTTTAACAGTAAAGGGTTTTGTCGCTGCTTCAGTTCTTAAGTAAGTTCACTCTTCTAAAATTGATTTTGTTGCATGATTAAATAAAAATTAACGTACAAGTTTAATACTTTAATTCACTAAATCTATACATTATGTTATTTGTAAATATATGAATTTTGTTGCATAATGCATATACGTGTTTTGGTGTAGATATGTCTTCATCAGCGGGTGGTGGAAGACAAGATCCTACATGAAATTATACTTTATTAGTTGATGGGAATGCCAATAAACACAAGTGCATATTTTGTAACAATATCACAAATGGCGACATATCCCGACAAAAAGAGCAACTAATCAGGACGGATAGGAAACGCAAAAATGTGAGGCTTTGTCAAAAAATCCCTCCCGATGTGGTTGAAGAGCTAAAAGATTATGAAGAAAGACAAAAGATAGCTAAAAGACAATAAGCTATAGATGATTATCTCCCCGAACTTGGAGATGAGAACATGGTGGAAATCGATGAGGAGGAGGATGAAGA